ATGAAGCCTAAAATTTTCAGTTTTTGTTAAAACTGGGTTTTAATATGTGGGCATGGTCACTTAGGATTTCTATAACTCTCTCACAGTTCAAACCAGTTTGATCGGAGCTGTATGAAACACTGCTTCCACTGACTGCAAGCTACCCTCTCTGAGGCCCCGATGGTCCGGGTAATCTGAACACTGATGAACCTCAAAGTGTGAACTTCTCTATAGTGCTGCTGGATTAGAGACGAGTCAGAGCAGAAGGCATTTCCTCAGGGAGACATAGCGATTCGTTTCGACCAGCGAGCCTATTGTAGAGAAACCAGGTGATTAGGGTGGAACTAACAGGATTGGGCTGATGCCTCGCTGCTGGGAGAGAGGCAGAGGAAGAGACAGCGCACATTCACATTTACACTCACAAACACACAACACGACAAGGCATGCAAAGACATGAATGCATACTGTAGCATGCAAGGGGGCATAACTAGATGGGCCGACAGAAGAGCCCTTACATTGTAAAAGCATTTTCATGAACGTATTGTTAAATCTCTGTTTTACACAGATCACTGTCTCTGTCACTCATGAAGTAACTGTTTCAGTTTAACATTTACCTAACATAATTGAGATTTCAATGCAATAATGACTATGTAACTGACCATGTTTGACATATGCAACAGGTGTCTCAAATCAAACCTTGCACAGCTGTTCTTCAACAGCACTTTTCTGTGGATTTTATACCTTTAAGTTGATAAGGAGTACAGTCTACAAAATGCCCCAGGATGCAACTGGATAGGCCTACAGCCAACCAAACGTATGTAGCCTAGCCAATTAATCTTACCAAATCAAGTCTGTAGTACTGCTTTAACTGCAGTTGTTTGTTTTGTTTTTTTTCGATTAGTACTGACACGATAGCAGATTAAACAGAAAAAGTTAAATGAGAGTCATCGTATAAAACCCGCCCCATATGAAATAAATGGTTGTCAGATCCAGGACTGGTGTAAATCTATCTGAATGGGAGGGGAACCAATCACATCTGCCAGAGCAAATAAAACATGAGCTTGCAGATCCGTCTGGTTCCCAGGCCACTGTCACTCCATTTATGAAAGAAAAAGTGTAGAATAATAAGATGTTGTGGTCTTTGAGCTATAAAAACCTGAGTACTAATGTGAATAGAGATCTAAAAGATCACAGTTTTAAATCCTTGACATGGCAGTTTGCTTCTGTCTTGCTCTTTTGTGCTTTAGTGACTGTTGCAAGTGAAAGAGAAAGGTGAAAGAGTTGTTGTATATATGCAGGTGGGGTGAATTCTTAATACCAGTGTAAGTGAGCTCTCTTTGTTGAACAGTGTTCTCTACCGCAGTTCTTTCAAGCTCCCTGATATTTGATTTGCATGAAGAAACCTGAGCATCAACTTTTTCTTTCCTATTATCCCTGCTGTGCTGCATCCTATTGCCCTTGCTGTAACCTACAGAAATGAATGGCAGTGCGCCGCCCACATCCAAGCTGTTATGTTAGTCCAATATAAGTCAAGGTTTTCTCTGGAGGTGCAGCCTTGGAAGCTCTCTGTAAGATCTGATTTTCACTTGCAAGCTAGCTTTTTTCACTGAGTCAACCTTAACCCTTTCTGTGTACCTACAATATCTGAGATTAAAGCAGCTTTTTAAAAAACTTATTCTGTGTTTGACATTTAACTCTTATGTAAGGTGAAACAACTTAGATCCTGTCTGAGAAATTGGTACCATCTTTAAAATATTGTGCGGTTGTATTTTAGAGCTGTTTATTGGAAAGAATCTGGCAATACAATATACATTGCAATACAGGGGCTATGATTCTATATATTGCAGTGTACTGAAACTACAAGGAACACATCACCATTTATGCAGAACAGTGGGATATTGTTTGTATTTATCACAGTCCCTGTAACGTCCACCATCATAGCCCTCAGTTTAAGTTTACAACATTTTACCACTACTGTTTTTCATGAAAATACAGTGCAGTGTGTTCATATAGCAGGTAGTAGTATCACAACCAGCCCAAGTAGCGATATTGTACATATATTATGTTATTAAACTGGAATTTCAATTGGTGTCCTTATGGGAATCACAGTTTTTGGCTAGACAAGCAAAATTACATTGCCATTTTGGGTAGAAGATCACACTGATAGAAAACAACAATTCAAGATAACTAAGTTGGAGCCCTTCCTTGTTGATGAAACACATGAGGTTGTTAGAATGAGCTGTAGGAGGAACAGCAGGTGGGATGTAAGCAGGAACACAAAGCAGTGTTCACCTCTCACTGTAGTAGCGGTCGGTAACCACAGGACATAAAAGGGCTGATATGATACAGGTTCCACATTTTTGGTTTGTTGTATGTGTTGACATTGATAATAAACTCATTCAGAACCAGCTCCAATGGAAACCGAAGGTGTTTCTGTTTCATTTTATCCCCTCTAGCCTTCTCTGTCTGCCCATTTCTAAGAATAAATACAAAACCCGAGCAGATGATCTCTCTTATGTTAAAGCCTCTCCTGTCTACGGCACAGAACCCCCAGCAGGGAACCACACCATCCAGAGGAAACACTGCTGTCTAGATATAGTAAAGCTAGACAGTAAAGCCTCTTACGGACGAACAGAGCAGGATGGAGCAAAGTAAAATAAAATAGAAGGTTGGTGCATAGAGGAGAATGGGACAAAACAACAAAAGAGGTTTTTTTTAAAGAGTAAAAACCCAGAAGCCTGTTAGCTTGTGATCCAGACATGGTGTTTTAAAAAAGAAAGATGGATATAAGGCTGTTAGTGTGAGTCATATCCAACAAAGGGTCAGGAAGACTGCTCCAATAAAATCTGTTAGACTGCTGATTACCTAATCACACTGCACTGCGTTCATCAGACATAATACCTAAAACCCACTGCAGTATTAAAAGTCACACATACTCTGATAAGTTAACTTCTGGGTTTTGTCTTTTCTAAAACAGCACAAAATATTAAGTGTACATGTAAAAGGTTTTGACAAATACCCTTTACATTTGGTCCCTGCTTATGAATGAGCAGCTGACAGGATGAATTACCAATCTGCTATACAGGACAGCTACTATAGATCTATGCAACATGTGGTCATGGAGTGTCTGGGGGTTCATTTCCCAGTGAGATTACTCTGCAATATTCTATACACGGGCAGAACTGTTAGGCAATTTGAGTAAAAGCATCAACCAGGCAGCTTTGAATATGAGACTTGGAAAAGCAGCAGGAGGTGCTGATTGAATTTTATAAAAGTCTCCAATAAAGTTTTTTTTTTTCTGAGGGGTGTGAGACATAGTTTGTAATAGCTGCATCTTACTCTGAAAACACAAGTATAATCAAAATGAACTGCTGGTAGCTAACGGTGTCACAAGGAAAAAGTGTTTTATCTGTTCTGCGCGGTCACACATGAAGGGGGAGCGGAAAGCTGTCCATCACCGAGACAGGCGAGATGCGAGGGTCATTTAAAACATGTCTCAGTGGCTGTGCGCACACCACCTGAAGCACACCCTCGCCAAGACCGAGCTGCTCTTCCTTCCAGGGAAGGCATCTCCTGTCCATTAACTCTCCATTACCACTGAGAGCTCTGTGGTGTCCCTGGATCGGACAGGAAGCAACCTGGACGTGACACAGGATGACCATCTGTCCTTTGCTGTCAACACTGCTGGGACAACACACTCCTGCAGATTCATCCTCTACAACATCAGAAGGATACGTCTGTTCCTCACCCTGAGGGCAGCGTAGGTTCTGATCCAGGCTCTTCTCACCTAGCACCTGTACTATCTGACAAGCATTTATGTAGAAGTATACTACCGCCTTCATTTCCCTGTACATTATGTTGTTGTGGCCTTGAAATGATGTTTGCTCCAATAAAATGCTTTGTGCTTTGCAGAGTCTGGTCACGACAAGTTCTGTAGTTGCTGTTGGGTCAGATGTAAGTACTTGTTTTTCATCTATAAAAGGGGACATATGTACTGAGATTGTTCAACAACCATTATGTTCATTTCCAAGAATACGTGTCAGGGTTTTAGTAGAAATTGCTATTATTTCTTTCATTCTCAAAGACTTTTTACAAGGTATGTGGGTTTCATCTGACCACTGTGTGATATCATCAACTGAGCTACAGGGCAACAAACACAACCTTTGTCACATTGTTAGTTACTGTGATGTACTGAACATCTAAACAAGATACAAACTCCTACAGGCGGTTTTTCATTTAAAAAGATCAGACCATGTGATCCTGTGCTGGGTTCTGTAAAAAAACAGACCATATTACTTTTGTTACTGCTGTGAATCAGTCGGCCTTCTGCTATTGATATTGCCATTAAATATAAGCTCACCAGAAAGATCTTAAGAACTACAGTTTGTTACAACATACATATATACATATACAACACGTTCTCATGCCAATTGGTCAAATTCAGACACCGCGTTGTCGGGCTAGGTCATACAGAACAACAAAGGTACCCTTTTGTGTCCGTATGAGACTTCTTTTTAACATGTGGTTAAACATTGTGAACCTACTTTGTTAGGTTTAGCATCATGATTTGAATTAAAGTAAATACGTGACATCATTATACACTCTTTTACAGCATAAATTTCAAAAGAATACCTCACTAAAACTATTTCTACCATCGTCTGCCACTGTGTGAAGTTTAAATTCTGCCAGAAAATGAGAGATAGATGAGAGTAGATGAAGAGAAAAGCAAAGTAGAAACTAGTCAGGCAGAAAGCACGAGGAGAGGGAGAGAAAGAGTGCAATGTATTTACATAAGTCTCCTTCACATTAAAAATGCAGTCAGAGATGTTGGCTATATAAATAACCCATTTCTTAACATCACCACAACAGAGAAAGACGGGAAGAAAGAGAATCGGGGATGTGGAAAGGAATGGACGGAATGGGGAAATCAACAGCTGAAGTTTAAGGGAAAAGAAAATGTTATTAGTCAAACAGTCTAAGAGAAGAAAGTTGAAGAAAAGAATCCTGTCACTCTCTCTTACCTTGACATTTGGCTTCCTTGTTGAGAATCCTCTGTACCATCCTGAAAGAAAACACAAATATGAGTGACTAAGACAGTCGAGCAAACACAGGTTCAGTGAATAGATGAAAATGAATGAATCAGCGGTTTTGATTGAATATGGAAGGCAACTTTGGCTTGAACATTTTTACAATGATATTTGTTTGCATGCAGAGAAACTATTAAAATTAAGGTACCAGTGAATATAAACCAATGCAAAGTAAGAAGAAACATTTAATACCTGATATTCCACCATGCACTGGAAAATGGTCAGCAATACTAAACTATAAAGTACAGTTGTAGTAAGATGTGGGGTAAAAACGTATTGTAAAAATTGTGCAGTTTGTACTGTTTAATTGATTAATGATAACGAGGTTTACTTCATTCTGCACTGTAGAAAAAGGATTAATAACAAGGTCACCACCCCCCTCTGATTGATGATTGATGATTAAAGCAGCAACTTTCATTTTGTGTTAAGTTCTGGTGGCCCCTGTGCAGTAGTGTTTCCACCGTCTCGTCTCATTGATTTCAAGGCGAATCTGACCCGGTGGAAGGCATTAGGAATACTATATACTATATATCTACTCTCTGATGGTCTTGTTTGTTAATATAGGTCATACAGAGCCATCAGTATTCAATTGAGACTGTTTCATAACTACAGCCCCATTATTTTAGGCCTATGTTTGCATTTTGACATCTTCAAAAGTATGCTGAACTAGCTATCGGCAGTTCATGTTTCCACTGACTGTCACTGGATTACTTTAATACTGAGGAAATCATAAAAATGTGATTATCCTCAGGCAAGTTCTGCAGAAATCCGTCACTGCTACTCCAGAGTCAGAACCAGATCAGTGACATACAGGGAGCTGGGGTACACACTGCTCTTAACCTTGTGTGACCTGTGACTTTACTTTGTAAGTGTGTGTGTGTATGTGTG